AACATTGTATCAGTTTCAAATGTACAACATAATGATTTAATATTTGTATATATTACAAAATGATCATCACAAAAATTCTAGTTAACATCCATCACCATACATAATTATGATTTTTTTCTCATAGTGTCTTGAATAATGTAGCTTAATAGCAAATCTTGAAAGCCAGTAGTGTTAAGTCCTTCAAATTCATTCCTTTTCAAAACAATTTTGAGTATTTTAGGTAATTTGTATTTCTATATAAATTTATTTCATCACAAGGATAATTTTGTTCTCTTCTTTTTATCTATATGAGATGATGAATGTTAACTAAACTTGTCATGGTAATCATTTTACAGTATATGTAAAGCAAGCCATTTTGCCATACACCTTAAACATATACAGGGATTTATGTCAATTATTTCCCAATAAAACTGGGGTGGGGGAAGAATCAGCTTCCCTAGTTCTACCAAAAAGCAAGAACAACAAGAACAAAAAAGAACGCTGCCAGAATTTTGATTAAGATTGCATTAAATCTGTAGCTCAGTTTTGGAAAAATTGATGTTTTCTGTTTCATACACATCTGTTTATGTATTTAGGTTTTCTATAATTCCTCCCAGCATTGTTTCTAATTTTCATTGTAAAGGTCTCCATATTATTTTTAAAAGTTGATTTCTAAGCAGTCTTTTTCTGCTTTATAAATGGTATTTTAATTTCAATTTCCTATAGTTTGTTGCTATGATATAGAAATACACTTGATTTTTGTATATAGCTTTCCCTCAGAATCTGCAGGGGATTGGGTCCAGGACCCCATGTTGATACCAAAATCTGTAGATGCTCCCATCCCTTATATAAAATGGTGTAATATTTGCATATAACTTACACACATACTCCCATATACTTTAAATCATTTCTAGATTAATTATGATACTTAATATAATGTAAATGTTATGTAAATAGTTGTAAATACAATGTAAATGCTTATATAGTTATTGGCATGTGACAACTTCAAGTTTTGCTTTTTGGAGCTTTCTGGAATTTTTTTTTCCTGAATATTTTTTGTGTGCAATTGGTTGAATCCATGGATGTAGAACCTGTGGATATGGAGGGCAGACTGTATTGACTTTGAATCATGACACATTACTGAATTCACTAGTTGGGTCTAGAATTTTTTTTAAGATTCCTTAGGATTTTATACATGCATAATTGTGTCATTTCTGAATAAAGACAGTTCTACTTATTCTTTTTTAATCTGTATGCCTCCTATTCCTTTTTCTTGTCTTATTGGACTAACCAGGACCTCCAGTACAGTGTTAATTAGAAATAGTGAAAGCAGGCATCTTTTGTTTTGTACCTGAATTTTAGGGGCAATAATTCAATATTTTACTATTGAGAATGATATTAGCTTTAAAATTTTCATGGTCACCCTTTATCACATTGTGGGGGTTTCTTTCTAAACCTAATTTGCTGGTGGCTTTTATTATAAATGTGTTTTATCAAATTCTAATTGAAATAATCATATGGTTTTTCTGTAATCTATTATTGTGGCGAATTGGATTGAGATAAGTCCCTTCTAATCATGGTGTATCATCCTTTTAATGTACCGTTTTGACTGATTTTTTAAAATTATGTTGCTTGTCTTTTTATTATTAAGTTCTAGGATTTCTATATATTTTATATATAGGATACAGACTCTTTATTAGATTGTGTTTTTCTGATTTCTTCTGATCTGTGTGGCTTGCCTATTTAGTTTAAAAAGTCCATGTGTATTAACTCCATCTTGATTTTTTTTTGTCTGTCATTTTCTATTGTCTATTATTTCTCTTAAGTTTTGTTCATGTCTTATATTCTCATGCACCAGTTTATTTTTGAATGAGTACTGAACACTATATACAAAAATTATAGAGTTTTTTAAACTTGGAAATAATTTTAAACTTACAGAAAAATTGAAAAATAAGAACAGTACAAAGGCTACCTATACAGGTATACCTCAGAGAGATGAGTTCGGTTTCAGACCACAACAAAGTGAGTCACACAAAGTTTTTGGTTTCCCACTGCATATAAAAGTTATGTTTATATTATACTGTAGTCTATTAAGTGTATAATATCATTATGCCTTTAAAAAGTACATGCCTTAATTATGTGTACTTTATTGTTTAAAAATGCTAACCATCATCTGAACCTTCAGTATGTCATAATCTTTTTGCTGGTGGAGGGTCTTTCCTTGAGTTGGTAGCTCCTAACTAATCAGGGTGTTGGTTGCTGAAAGTTGGGATGGCTGCAGCAATTTCTTAAAATAAGACAATGAAGTTTGCAGCATCAGTTGACTCTCCCTTTCATGAACCATTTCTCTGTAGCATGCATAGTGTTTGACAGCATTTTACCTACAGTAGAATTCCTTTCAAAATAGAGTCAGTCCTCTCAAACTCTGCTGCTGCTTTATCAATTAACTTTATGTAACATTCTAAATTCTTTGTTGTCATTTCAACATCTTCACATTGTCTTCACCAGGAGTAGATTTCATCTCCAGAAAGTACATTCTTTGCTCATCCATAAGAAACAACTCCTCATCTGTTAAAGTTTTATCATGAAATTGCAGCAATTCAATCACATTTTCAGCCTCCACTCCTAATTCTAGTTCTTTTTACTATTTCCATCACATCTGCAATCACTTCCTCCACTAAAGTCGAACTTTTCAGTCATCAATGAGGGTTGGAATCATCTTCTTCCAAACTCCTGGTAACATTGATATCTGACCTCTTCCCATGAATCATGAATGTTCTTAATGGCATCTAGAATGGTGAATTCTTTCTAGAAGGCTTTCAATTTACTTTTTCTGTATCCATCAGAGGAATCACTATATATGGCAGCTATAGTCTTACAAAATGTATTTCTTAAATCTTAATACTAGAAAGTCAAAATTACTCCTTGATCCATGGGCTGCAGAATGGATGTTGTGTTAGCAAGCATGAAAACAACATTCATCTCATTGTACATCTCCATCAGAGCTTTTGAATTACCAGGTGCATTGTCAATGATCGGTAATATTTTGAAAGGAGTTTTTTTTTTTCTGAACAGTAGGTCTCTACAATGGGCTTAAAATATTCTGTAAACCATGTTGTTGTAAGCATATTTGCTGTCATCCAGATTTTTTGTTCCATTTATAGAACACAGGCAGATTAGATTTAGTGTAATTCTTTAGAGCTTCAGGATTCTCAGAATGGTAAATGAGCATTGGCTTCAACTTAAAGTCACCAGCTGCCTTAGCTCCTAACAAAAGATTCAGCCTGCCCTTTGAAGCTTTGAAGCCTGGCATTGACTTCTCTCTAGCTGTAAAAGTCCTAGATGGCATCTTCTTTTCAATAGAAGGCTGTTTTGTCTACATTGAAAATCTGTTGCTTAGCATAGCCACCTTCATTAACTATTTTAGCTAGATCTTCTGGATAACTTGCTGCAGCTTCTACATTAGAACTCGCTGCTTTGTCTTGCACTTTTATGTTATGGAGATGGATTTTTTTCCTTAGATCTCACAAACCAACCTCTGGTAGCTTCACACTTTTCTTCAGCAGCTTCCTCACTTCTCTTAGCCTTTGTAGAATTGTAATCCTTGCTCAGGATTAGGCTTTTGGCTTACAGGAATGTTGTGGCTGTTTTTATTTTCTATCCAGACTACTCAACTTTTCTTCAGATTAGTAATAATGCTGTTTTGCTTTCTTATCATTCATGTGTTCACTGGAGTTGACACTTTTAATTTCCTTCAAGAACTTTTCCTTTGCATTCACAACTTAGCTAACTGTTTGGCACAAGAGGCCTAGCCTTCAGCCTATCTCAGCTTTTGACATGCCTCCCTTACATTTTAGTTTTTGATTTAAAGTGAGAGTGATGTGATTCTTCCATTCACTTGAACCCTAGAGGCCATTGTAGGGTTATTAATTGGTTTAATTTCAATATTGTTATGTCTCAGGTAATAGTAAGCCTGAAGAGAGGGAGAGAGATTGGGGAACAGTATAACAGTCATCACATACAACATTTATATATTATGTTCTTCTTATGTGGGTGCAGTTTTTAGCATCTCAGAACAATTACACTAGTAACATCAAAGATCACTGATCACAGATCACCATAACAAATATAGTAATAATAACAAACTTTAAAATATTGTGAGAATTATTAAAATGTGGCACAGAGACACAAAGTGATCAAATGCTCTTAGAAAAATGGCACCAATAGACTTGCTCAACCAGGATTGCCACAAACCTTCAATTTGTAAAAAATATGCAGTATCTGTGAAGCGCAGTAAAGTGAAGTGCAACAAAATGAAGTATGCATGTATACCATTTACCCAGATTTACCTAATATTAATATTCCACTGATTTTACTTTATCATTTGAACATGCTCTTCCTCACTCTCCTCCCTCTCTCCTCTTCCTTCCCCTCTCTATATGCTCGCACATACGTGCGCACATGTATTTTTTTCTCAGCCATTTGTTGCTTAACTTCCATACATCATAGCCTCTTTACCTTTGAATAATCCAAGTTATATTCCCTAAGGCATATTCTTTGGAGATAATTTGAGGCTCTGGATGATGTGATTCCTTCAAATAGAAATTTATTATATTTTTCTCACTTTTCTAGCTATTCTCACTGGTAAGAATTACCTAAAACTATTTAGTCTGCCACAATCAGAAATAGAATCTCTGACCTATCTTTTTATGATCTAGTGCCAGAGTTTTATTGCCATAGTGTGTTTTACTATTTTCAGGGCCAGTGTCCTTTCATTACTCTTCTTTTATAGAATTTACTTGCTATTCCTACTTATTCTTTTTTCTGTAGAATTTTTACAGTTTGTCTAATTGTCAAATAATTTTATTTTTTATTATTAAATTGTGAATTGATTTAGGAAAGATTGACATTGTTGTCATTTTAATATTTTTATATAAGAATAGGATCTGTTTTTCGATTTCTCCATTTCTTTTTTGTTGTCCTCAGTAGCCTTTCCCTTTCTATTTTTCCTCTGTTCACAGCAAGATGGATTCTGGATATACTCTGAGTACTGTAACAACCACCTGGACGCCTGTATGGAGCTCTCCAAACTGATGAAGGATAGCCGCTACCAGCACTTCTTTGAGGCCTGTCGCCTCTTGCAGCAGATGATTGACATTGCTATTGATGGTTTCCTTTTGACTCCAGTGCAGAAGATCTGCAAGTATCCCTTACAATTGGCTGAGCTCCTTAAGTATACCGCCCAGGACCATAGGTAAGGGATTGAAGGAGGCAGGGATGAGGAAGAGAGCCTCCTCTACATGTTGGTTCTTATTGAGACTGTATGTTCTTTTGCCTTTTCTGAGCTTCTGTTAGCTTATATGCACAGTGGAATGATGATACAGTCTTGCTTACCTCACAAGACTGTTGTGTGTATAAAGTGAGGCAGTGCTTGAGAGTTGCTTATTAAGTTGTAAATCAATATGCACACAAAATCGGTTTGTATTATTATTGTACAACTTAGACACTGCCTTCAGGGACCTTATAGCCTGGTCCTTAGTCCTGAGCTCAGCCAAGTAAATCAACCCAGATGGAATAATTGTTCAGCTGTTTATTCTACTCTATTTGATACAGTCCAATTTCCTAGTGACAGACTGCCCAACTTGTAGTGACCTTAGATTTCTTCTGCAAGTCTACATCCCTGGTCTTCTTTAGTCTTTTCCACCTTCCTTTGCCTCATCCCAACCATATCTCCCCTTAGACCCAGGCTGGGAGAAAATAGACTTGAGACTTCCCCTGAGTTTTTTCAAAGTTTTTCATTATTTTCAAGAAAACTAACCCAAAAAAGGAGCTTAATCACTGTCTGAATGGAAATGTTATTCCTAACCTCCTACCAGAAAGGTATATGCTGGAAGTAATCTCCAACAACGGGGATTGTCTAGAGTGAACCATCCCCCTTCCTTTCACATGCTTTATTTCATGGTATTAAATCCCTGGCCTTAGGTTTGTTGGCCCAGCTCTCAGTTCTTTTCCTGATTGATTACTCTAAAAAGAAAGAATGCCTTTGCCCCATTTCCCTTAGTTTCTGCCTGATTCTCATGAGGCCTGCTTCCTACTTTCATTTGGCTCCATTGCCTCGTTTCCTTGGAGCTGACTTCTAGACCTAATTGCATAAGGCGATGGATGTGAGCCAGTTGGTTTTGTTTATGTCAAGCTTCTAGGCCAATCCCTAGGTTCATTTTTAAGTTGATGTTGTTTCTTTAGCAAATCATGGGTCATGTACTTCACTAGTTCTGGAGCACTGGACAGATTTCAGATTTGAACCCAAATGTGGTGACACTAGATTCTCCCTTTATGTGAGTAACAACACCAGTGGTAGCTCTGCCTTCCATGTTCTTTTGACTGTGAGGGAGGCAGGTATAGAAGGACCTTGCAAAGCAGGACTCCACTCCCTTCTCCCTAAGTCTGTTTACTGGCTGTGGGATAGTGGGGGTACTCATTAGACATGGAATTTGGAGGTGACTAAATCTCTCTTAAAATATTTAATATAGCTTACTGATAGAACTGAGTCCTAAGTTTTCTAAGGATACACTTTATTGTGACACCTAATAGGACACTGAAGAACCCACACTAAAATTACAATATTAAAAAATAAAAATGGAAAATATTTATGGTACTAAAAATGGAAAAGGCCTTCAAGGTAGTTCTTCTTGTCTGATTTCCTCATTGTATAGCTGGAAAGACTGAGGCCCAGAAAGGGAAAATGACAGTGAACAAGTCGGTGGCAAAGCAGCGACACAAAGTCTAGATAGTGGTCTGGGAACCTAGCTTTTTAAAGGGCTCCAGGTGATTTTCATGCCCAGGAAGATTTGTGAGCCATTGTACCAACAAGTATGGAAGACATTTTCTAGTTCTGTCAGGCCATGATGTCATGGGTCTAAATGACCTCCGCAGTTATACTTCATGGTGCTAAGTGACCAGAAGCAACCACCACTGTACCTAAATCTCAGTGGAACATCCTTCAGACCAATGGTTTTTAAAACCAGCATATTCAAAGAGTAATTCTCAAATGTCTTCATATCACAGCTCATCTCTCACCTACTCCTGAGTATCTGTTCCATGGAACCTAGCAGGAGGCTCTTTGAAAATCATACGTGTGGACTGATGATATTATCTAAGTAAATTATGTATTACATAAGTGCTTTTAAGAGCCCCTGAAAGACCATTTTCAAATCACAGCTAAAAACTATGTTAGTTTCTTAGGCCAAAACAATTTCAGGGCCTTATTGGGTTTAGTAGGAGCCAATAAATTCGGACACCTGCCTGGGATTTGCCATTCCTGTGTACCTTCATCTGGTGGCTAGAACCCCTATCTCAAGACTTTCTTGCCTTCTGGGTCCCTGGTCACCTCTCCTTCCACCCCTTGGACTTTAATGCTAAAATAATGGCTCAGACAGTGGCAGGCTACATCAATCCCTGTCCTCATTTGGGGTAACCCACTGGGCCCAGCACTATCCCCATACCATGGGCCACCCCTTCTGGCAGGCCTCAGGAAGCTGTATCAAGATGATAGCTCCTGCAATGCATGTTAGAGTAGCTTGGATTTGAAGGCAATTAGAGGCTGCTGCCAGCTTGACAGGTCAGATAAGAGTTCAAATAGGTAGGTATGAAATTCAGGCAAGCAGAGTAGTTTCTGAGGGAGATTAGATGGATGTGGTGTGATAAATGGAGAATAATACTATCTTTGTTTACAGAAGGTGACCCCCCAACCCATACTTCCTTAAGCTGAGAAGAAAGATTCTATGTAAGAGGGAGATTACCTGACATGTCTGGAACAAGACAGTCTTAGTTCAGTCAGTGTCCTCACTAGGATGTTCCTCACCTCATCTGGAAACCTGGGGCCTCTGAGCAGTGTTCAGATTAGACCACAGCTATTTGCTTCTTCTCTCACTCCTAAAGCTAGTGGGGAAGGTTACAGATGGGAACATCTCCTCCTGTAACCATTGTGAAAAAGGCAGCCAGCTAAAAATGGCAAAGGTTGATGGACATTATGACACAGTGGCAGTGATAAATTCATGGCTGAGTAGTACATGGAGTCAGACAGAGTTGTAATAAGCATTCTTATGCCAGTGCTGTTCAATAGAACTTTCTACAATGATGTAAATGTTTAATATCTGTGCTGTTCCACATAGTAGCCACTGGCCACACATGGCCATTGAGTACTGAGAAATGTGGCTGGTGCAACTAAAGAACTAAATTTTTAAATCATATTTAATTTTAATTAAATGTGGCTAGTAGCTACCATGTTGGACAGTGTAGTTCTATGCTTTACTTCCCAGAAAGTGGCTTAAGGCATTTTCCTGATGCTCTCAAATCTCAAAATAGTGTAAGACACAGAAAAAAGACCTAAAGAACAGTGGTCCTTATTTATGTCAGCAACTTCAACACTGCAACAGCCTGTTCTGTTGTTACCCTACCCTGATTCTAAATGGCAGGCTCAGATAGTCTTGCCAGGGAGAAACTTTGACAGTGTTACAAAGGACAATAGTTCACCATAGGTTGGAGCAAGTAACTATAAAAGTATGAAATGCAACAGGAACAAATGTAATGTTTTATAGTTGGGTTTGAGAAATCAATAATTAATTAAAGGACATATTGACAGAAATACAGTTTCTAGACAGCATATTTTAAGATTTAAGAAGTGTTGGTTGACCATAAGTTCAATAGGAGTCAGAAGTGGAATCTGAAAGAAAAACTGATAATAGCTAACATTCATTAAGGTGCAGAATAAAGAAGAGGTTTTGGTGGGTTGTTTTTGTGTGTGTGTGTTTAAATCAGAGTTGTCTTGAGACATCCTGTCACTGGAGGTGATAAAATGTAATAGCGTTTGAAGATTATGGTCTGACAGCTGTTCAGAGAATAGACTGGATCCAGGAAGGCCAGCTAAGAGGAGGTGTTGTATGGCATCTGCCCTGGCAGTTAGAATTCCCTTTTTCCTTTGCCTATGTTTGGTCCACCACCCTGCCCCTCAATGTACTAGGAAATAAAATGACAGTTGCTGTGCTTGTCTTTTTCTCTTCTGTTCTTTCTAATTGGTGCTGGGACAGTAAGCAGGTGAGTGACCACAAAACATGTTCAGTTTCTCTAAGGAAAAGTTAGTTAAGACTGAATCATAGCTTATCCTCCTACCTTCTCAATTTACTGTAACTCCACCAAATGGCTGGGATCTCACTTTAAATCTCCTTTTCACAGGAGCCATTTGATTGGAAATTAGATCAGACAAGCAGAGAAAACTGGGCAGGGTGGTATAACATTCAACAAGTGGGCCATCCAAAGTCCCAGGAAGCTGAGCCTAGGATTTTACTCCTGGGATTAGAGGTTTTGAGAGGCAGCCCATATGATGGCTATACTAGAGAAATGTGTGATTTATATTAATAATACTTGCTAACATTTACTATGAGCTAAGAGTAAAACTTTTCATGGGTGATAGATTAAAACACTCAGCGTATTCTTCTGTAATTCTCCCCATTTTACAGGAAATTGAGTCACTGAGAAGGTGAATGAGATTCTGACTAGTCAGTGATAAAACAAGGGTTTGTGCAAGGAATCTGACTCCAGATTCTGTTCTTAACCACCATACCACATCCTATCTCTATATTGTATTGGTGGAATGGTTTGGATGTTATTTTACAGTCACTTTTGGCAGAGTTCCCTAGAAGTAGGTGATAGGACAGATGATAGATTTGTCTAGACCGTGCCATGTATGAGGCTTTCTTGTTGGTCCTTGGCTGGGTGTATCAGATAGGGCACAAAATAATGGTATAAAAAAGATAGGAATCTATTTATCATTCATGTAAAAAAAGTCTGCAAGTAGGCAGTCTGTGGCTGCTCTGTTGACTCCATGGTCATCAGAGACTTTGACTCCTTCCTCTTTTCTGTTATCCTATCCCTAGGAGTATGGACCTTGTCCTATGGTGCAAGGTAATTGCTAGAACTTCAGCCATCACATCTACATATTCCAAGCATCAGGATTAAGTAAGGATGAAAGAAGGGCATGATGTCTTTCTTAAAGGAAGTTTCTCAAAATTTCTACACAACACTTCTATTTACATATCACTGGATAGAACTTGATCACACATAAGTCATCTATTACTGTAAAAGAAGGATAATAAGTATAGTCTTTTAATCCATGTGGCATGGATTCCATCTGAAAATTGAGGCTTTGTTACTAAATAGGAAGAGGATAATGGATGTTAGGGTTGGTACCCAGCATACTGGTTTTGTGGCACATTGATTCATCCCTTGTAATTTTGTGTTTTCACAGTGACTACAGGTATGTGGCAGCTGCTCTGGCTGTCATGAGAAATGTGACTCAGCAGATCAATGAACGCAAGCGGCGTTTGGAGAATATTGACAAGATTGCCCAGTGGCAGGCCTCCGTCCTTGAGTGGGAGGTAGGACTCTTACCAATAGGCACATTGGAGAGTCTGAATACCTTGGCCAGAACTTCACATCCTAGCCAGAGATGGATGAAGAGTAGATTTGAAGAGCAGCAGAAAGGATTTAGATTAGAGCCAAAGAAAAACTCCCTGCTAATGAAGGGTGTTGTGTACTTGACTAGTTTTCTAAGAAGCTTAGAGAAATCTTTGTGGCAATACTACATTAAGAAAAGGAAGGTTCATCTCTTCGGATGTTGCCGGGAAACAATTGGGTTGACTCAGTAGCCTTTCAAATCTCTTTCAAGTCCTGGAATTTTATCACTACTAGATAAACACTTAGATAAGGTGTGGTATTCACTCCAAACACAGAATGCAAGTTTGGTTCTCTGATGCAGGCAAGCCAACATACTTCTTTTTCTCTCAGTGGGATCACCTCACTTTGACATATTTACTGGTTCTGTCTAAGCCTACACACTTGAGGCCACAACCATCATCCCTTCCCAATTGACAGACCAAATTCTATTTTGTATCATTTACTTACGAAAATTATCCCTGACAGCCTTCCATTCTATTGGAAATAGCCACAACTTATCTGAACTCAGAAAGCCTTCAGGAAAGTCATTAAAGCCTTCCCTCCTGAGATGTTGACTTTCAAAGGATATATACAGCCTAACAAATAAATAGAGGTTTTGCCTCTAATGCCACTGCTCTGTTGAAGTTCTTGAGGTGTCTGTTCAATAGAAACAGCTGTGAATTTTAAGGCCTCGAAGGTACCTGTGTGTTAATTACACTAATGTGTGTCTCTTGTGCCTATCAAGAGAATCCGGAATAATGACATTTCACATTTATCTCTCAGGCCCAAGTTATGAAATCTGACAGTCCACAGCTAATGTAACCAAGATGGGAGAGGCTAGACATGCTACCAGGGAGGAGGCAGCAATATTAAACCTCATGGTTATAGTGTAGAAGTTGAACCAGCTCCCCATTCCACTGGCCTTCACACAGGTATCATTTCCTGTAATTTGTGAGATAGTATCTCTCTAACATTTTAAGCAGTTTAACACATTCCAAGGATTTAAGCATGAGCCTTACAGCTACGTAACCAAGGTCCAGAAAAAATCATCTTTCCTTTATTCTGCTATCTCTGTTCCTCCTTAATATTGATGGCTGGAAGAGACCACAATTCTGAGCAGCTGGCATATTTTTGAGTCTTATTTGAAGGATAATGTCCCCATACAAAATAGAAAACAGCAGTGATTCTTTGAGGTGTGGGAAGGAAGGAATCTATGTAAAGAAACTGTCCTGCTCATAAGAAGAAGCCAGCACTGATCCAGCCTTATTATGAAATCATGGATTCTCCTTCCATTGTGTCTGGTTTGCTTTGGCTAGTTGCCTGATCAGGGGGCTGGATCAAATGACTTCTAGCAACCTGTCAATTCTAAGGCACTCTGAAATTCTGGCTGGTTAGCAGGCCTCTTTTGCTCTACTCCTGCCAGGATTCTCTGTTACGAGGAGGTTCCCAGCAGCAATTGTCTTTCCATTTCCCTGGAACATTTTCACCCTTCCCAATGCCTGGAAGACCTTCTAATTCCTCCATGTACTCTGGGCCTCCAGTTGCTGCAGCTGGGGTCATGGGGGAACAAGAATAGCTTGAAATCCCTTAGCCTGTCTAGGGAGCTTCATTAATACCAAACTTGAAAGCACTGAACTATGATTTAGAGACTCGGCATCTCAGAAGGAATTTCGTGTGTTTTTTTCTGTAGGTGGGAGGGTGTTAGAAACAAAAAAGGCAATTCTGATCTAGGATTGCTAAGAGTCAGTTACTCTCTGCCCCCTTTGTTAGCATGCTTGATCCTCTAATCTCATTCAGGCCTACACAACCCTGTCACCCTCCTGTTTGACAAAGCCCTTCTTTGTCTAAATTGGTAAGAAGAAAAATTCTTTGTGGTCTCCTTTTCAGACTCTAGGGTCACTGTGGAACTTACCACTCTAGAGAGGTTGTACTCTAGGTAGCCTTTTATTGAGCAAGGCCTGATGGGTACATTTCAGAGGTCAGGCCCAAAGTTTCTATCATGTTTGCTATATCCAGTCTTAAATATGTCTAGAATGTCAGAGTCACTAGGACTTTTAGGGGACTCCCTCACAACAGTCTTCTGCTTCCTGCAGCCCAATTGCTTTTATTTATGGTTCTGCAGGGACTTATTTTTGCAGTAAGGGTTCCATATCTAGCAAGACAGTAAAACTGCCTTGCAGAGAAAATCCAAATCCCAGTAAGGCTAAAGTTGGATGAATGCTAGGAGGCTTCTCCTTGAAAGTAAAGATATGTCCACTCCATGGCTTGTTGGCTCTTGGCATAGATGGCCCATCCTCACTGGTTCCCTAGTATAGGTTTTTATATGTTCCACCTGCCCAAGCAGTTGGCCAGGCAGAGAAAGGCCCTGCCAGCTGGCTGGAGCATGCTGTGGACAAGCCTTGCAAATCAAGAAAATGGAGCAGTGCTTTGCTCTCTCTGCCACTTCCTTGTCTCCTCCAGATGTTTGAACAAACAGGGTGACTGTCAAAAGCATCTATGTGACCATTTCAATTCAATTTGTCAGATGAAAAAGAAGAGTCATAGAAGAAACCATCAGAGTTTAATCTCCCTTGAAGGGGAATTAGGAAAGAGGGTGAAAAGTTGGTACCTACTTAATAAATCAGAGCTTTTGGCTAGAGAGCAGGAGGTGTCTTGTATTATATCCACACCTGACCCTCCCTCAACTTATTCCATGAATATTCTGGGTCTTTGTGCCCAACTCCAGTTACTATCCCTGCTCCCTGCCAACTTATGTGGACTAGTGTGCATGGAGTATTCTCTGCTCTCCCCCACCCCCAAGGGTTCCTGAAAAAAATCAGTGATTGAGTGAGAATATCACCTATACCTCTAAATAATAAATTAGTACCTTAGAGCAGTTTAGGGGAGCAGAAGGAAAAAGAACCTGTTCCCAAGAACTGCAGTTTCTAGGAAATTTCCATTTCTAATTTCTCTGATGCTGATGTTTGTTGAGTTGTCTCTTTTCCACCCTTCACATGCAGTAGATGCACTTGGAAGGAAGGGAGAAGGAACATATCCCTGACAGTTTCCTTTTTTTTAACTTTTTTAAATTGAGTAATAATCATTTTACAATGTTGTGTCAAATTCCAGTGTAGAGCACAGTTTTTCAGTTATCCATGAACATATATATATTCATTGTCACATTTTTTTTCACTGTGAGCTACCACAAGATCTTGTATATATTTTCCTGTGCTATACAATATAATCTTGTTTATCTATTCTGTATTTTAAAATTGCAGTCTGTCCCTTCCCACCCCCTGCTCCCTTGGCAATCACAAGTTTGTGTTCTATGTCTATGAGTCTGTTTCTGTTTTGTATTTATGTTCTTTTTTTTTCTTTTAGATTCCACATATGAGTGATCTCATATGGTATTTTTCTTTCTCTTTCTGCCTTACTTCACTTAGAATGACATTCTCCAGGAACATCCATGTTGCTGCAAATGGTGTTATGTTGCTGGTTTTTGTGGCTGAATAGTATTCCATT